CAGATAACTGTTATATATGCCAATAAAATAAATATAATAACCATATTAGAATAATATATTATCTTATTTATTACTTATATTAGCGCTTCATCATTAACATATCATACAAATATATATATATATATATAATAGGCTATATTACATATTGTAACATTATATAATGTTTTGCGCTATCTGTCACGCCCACTAAAGGCTTGTCAGTAGATCACACATGCGCTGAAGTGAACTAACCCTGGAACAGAAGCTTCTCCGGAGCAGGTTATCTTCAGAGAGCAAGTTACTATGGTTACTTACATACCCTGAAAGTAACCTCCGATTTTGGAACCGAAAACTGAGCTTATCCGCTCGCTTATCCTCAAACATACCCGGGTATGTCACATAACCTACTTTTTGGAACACACCCCCAGGAGTAAAGTTGTCAAAACATCTACTCCTCATATTCTTAGAAATGACAGTATCCCGATAAGTGACTTTATCTTTCACTGGGATTTTTATTTATTTTTAATAAATAAATATACAAACAAATGTCCTCAAAAGAATTCAACACTTTATAAATGTCTAAAAACTAAACAAAGGTCTCACCTGAAATCAAATCTGACAAAGCAACAATGTCTAACAGTATTAATATTTGAAATGTGCCCAGCAAAAAACAGACTGGGATCTATTATAGCATCTTGTACATTCTTAAGACACTAAAAACAAAGGTGTAAGGGTTATAATTATTATTAAGACATATTGGGGTTGGAAGCAGCATAAGGCTTTGAGTAACTGTAAGGGAGAGAGGCATTCATAATACTTTCAATTAAAAATTTCAAAAGGAAAAGATTAATTTAGCAAACCACTCCTGGAAATGTGTTGAGTTTAAGAAGATTCAGTAACCTTGTCCAAATAACTTCCTCCAAATAACTGTTCCAAATAACAACAGTCTGCAGAGCCGTATAATAATCTCAACCACGAGCACCCTGTTTTACCTTTAAGCACACTGTATGAAAACAATAATTACATTGGCTGATGTATAACTAGGAATTAATGAATCAGATTAATAATTGATGCGCAGTAATAATATTAACAATCAAGAAATACATAAAGAATACAAAATACATTTACTTTGAGAACACACTTGTGATACAGAATTGTTAAGGCAGCAACATATTGACAGGACTGACACTGTTCAAGTGTTTCAAGATCTCATTCTGTTATACAATAACAAGCAGTGCACATTGTTTTCTGTCATTGTTTTCTGCAAGAGTATAATGAGAGAGAGAATCTACAACAGAGTATGTGATTGTGCATGACATGCCACTCTCACTTCTGATGTGAACACTCATTTGTTAACATGGGTGCCGGAAAATATGGGCTGCTCAGATGCCGCTGACACTTGCTGTGCACAACAGGACCTTCAGTATGACACTTTTCCTTCTATATTGGAGCTTGATGGCTTTTGTTCCTGCAAAATTTGAAATAGACTGTAGACAGGGCAATTATTGAAGTTATTAAAGTTAAAAGACAAACACAGATTAATAATGTCTTTATCCAGTTTGACTGTGTTTCTGGTACTTGGTTTTCTTCTTCAGTAGATTGGTTTCCAGTTTCTACTGTTGATTCTGCAACAAAACAAGTTCATTAAAAAAAACAGCATTACTACACTGTGATAAAGACAACAGATCCATCATTTATACTCTATACAGCAGCATTTAGACTAATTTTATTTAAAACTTCAATAAATTATTTTACACACCATTAATGAAGAGCCATACAGTCTCCTGATTAGAATAAGATGAGTGTGTGATGAAGCAGTTGAATTCTCCTGCATCAGCATGAGTGAGATTGCTGAGTTTGATGGAGAAGTTTCCTCTCTCATACTCCTCTGGGAAAGTTTGCGCTCTGTTCTTGTAACGTGGGTCCTGTGTCTCTAATGAATCTTTACCTTCAATTAAATCATAAATAGTCTCACATATAATAGGCTATATTACATATTGTAACATTATATAATGTTTTGCGCTATCTGTCACGCCCACTAAAGGCTTGTCAGTAGATCACACATGCGCTGAAGTGAACTAACCCTGGAACAGAAGCTTCTCCGGAGCAGGTTATCTTCAGAGAGCAAGTTACTATGGTTACTTACATACCCTGAAAGTAACCTCCGATTTTGGAACCGAAAACTGAGCTTATCCGCTCGCTTATCCTCAAACATACCCGGGTATGTCACATAACCTACTTTTTGGAACACACCCCCAGGAGTAAAGTTGTCAAAACATCTACTCCTCATATTCTTAGAAATGACAGTATCCCGATAAGTGACTTTATCTTTCACTGGGATTTTTATTTATTTTTAATAAATAAATATACAAACAAATGTCCTCAAAAGAATTCAACACTTTATAAATGTCTAAAAACTAAACAAAGGTCTCACCTGAAATCAAATCTGACAAAGCAACAATGTCTAACAGTATTAATATTTGAAATGTGCCCAGCAAAAAACAGACTGGGATCTATTATAGCATCTTGTACATTCTTAAGACACTAAAAACAAAGGTGTAAGGGTTATAATTATTATTAAGACATATTGGGGTTGGAAGCAGCATAAGGCTTTGAGTAACTGTAAGGGAGAGAGGCATTCATAATACTTTCAATTAAAAATTTCAAAAGGAAAAGATTAATTTAGCAAACCACTCCTGGAAATGTGTTGAGTTTAAGAAGATTCAGTAACCTTGTCCAAATAACTTCCTCCAAATAACTGTTCCAAATAACAACAGTCTGCAGAGCCGTATAATAATCTCAACCACGAGCACCCTGTTTTACCTTTAAGCACACTGTATGAAAACAATAATTACATTGGCTGATGTATAACTAGGAATTAATGAATCAGATTAATAATTGATGCGCAGTAATAATATTAACAATCAAGAAATACATAAAGAATACAAAATACATTTACTTTGAGAACACACTTGTGATACAGAATTGTTAAGGCAGCAACATATTGACAGGACTGACACTGTTCAAGTGTTTCAAGATCTCATTCTGTTATACAATAACAAGCAGTGCACATTGTTTTCTGTCATTGTTTTCTGCAAGAGTATAATGAGAGAGAGAATCTACAACAGAGTATGTGATTGTGCATGACATGCCACTCTCACTTCTGATGTGAACACTCATTTGTTAACATGGGTGCCGGAAAATATGGGCTGCTCAGATGCCGCTGACACTTGCTGTGCACAACAGGACCTTCAGTATGACACTTTTCCTTCTATATTGGAGCTTGATGGCTTTTGTTCCTGCAAAATTTGAAATAGACTGTAGACAGGGCAATTATTGAAGTTATTAAAGTTAAAAGACAAACACAGATTAATAATGTCTTTATCCAGTTTGACTGTGTTTCTGGTACTTGGTTTTCTTCTTCAGTAGATTGGTTTCCAGTTTCTACTGTTGATTCTGCAACAAAACAAGTTCATTAAAAAAAACAGCATTACTACACTGTGATAAAGACAACAGATCCATCATTTATACTCTATACAGCAGCATTTAGACTAATTTTATTTAAAACTTCAATAAATTATTTTACACACCATTAATGAAGAGCCATACAGTCTCCTGATTAGAATAAGATGAGTGTGTGATGAAGCAGTTGAATTCTCCTGCATCAGCATGAGTGAGATTGCTGAGTTTGATGGAGAAGTTTCCTCTCTCATACTCCTCTGGGAAAGTTTGCGCTCTGTTCTTGTAACGTGGGTCCTGTGTCTCTAATGAATCTTTACCTTCAATTAAATCATAAATAGTCTCACTGTCTTTGTCTCTCCAAAGCACATGCATGTCTTGAGGTTTAAGATCATGTTGAATTGAAGAACACGGCAGGACAACAGAACTGCCAGTAAAACCCACTACTTTGACATCCAGAGACACTGAAATGACAGAAACTGTAATTGTAAACACACAATCTGACATTTATACATGTGACATGAATTTATCATTCAAATTTAGTTCAGATGCTCACCTTTGTTTATCAGCACTGCAAACACACAGATGAAACACCAACTGCAGAAACAGAAAAACAAAAACAAGTTTAACTTCCTCAACCAGTAGATCATGACATTGTTTGAGATGAGCAGAACTGATCACAAGTGATCATGCCAATTAGAAAAGCTCTCTGACTTGCTGAAATGTCAATATTCTCACAACACTAAAGGTATAATGGGAAGCGACTGCCGAATAATAACGCACATCGGCTTGCTGACAAACTTAACACACATCAGCTTAGAACAATAACACAATGTAACAAAAATCTGTTTCACTTAATTTTTTCATGTTTCTTCTGTAATTATGTTTTGCTAATTATTATTGGACTATTTATTTATTTAGTAGCATCAATATGTTGGTAAATATTTAGGTCAGGTACATTTAAGAGCATCTTTCATTAATTATAAAACATTGGTATAGTACAGAAAAGTTTTTGTGCTAATACTGCATGTTTTTTAAAGATATTTTGCTTTTGCAAGGTTGTGAACATTCTAGAAGTTTCTGTAACATTCTAGAATATGATGTAATAATCTAGTGCTTTTTGGAACATTCCAGAACAACATTGTAGGACTAGGCATAAAAAAGACAAATCATCCAACATATACTTCTGAAGTTTTGGAAGACCCACTTTTGGAAACTGTTTATGTTAAATTGTTGTTAGCTCAGTATTTTGCATGTGCCATGCAATTTTTATGCATGAGTAATAACAGATTAGCATGTAAAAGTTGTCAACATATATTTTGTAGTTTGTAGTAGTAAAAAATTGACCAAATGTGATTTTCATATGCAGCATGTCAAACTTCACAAAGAAACAATTAAAAATAAAGGCAAAACAAAACAAACAAAACTTGTAAATATGCAAAATGTTTATACAAAAATGTATACATTTGCCAGCTGTAAATTGTCACTAAATTGTCCAAATGCACCAATTCGCAACCAAATTAACAAAATTTACAATTTCGCTTAACAATATACAAGATGTTGCATAATTATCCTGTAGATGTTGTAGAAATTGTAAACATGATTTAGCAGTAAATGTTGTTGTGCATAAAGGAGCATTTTCACCCATCTCATGTATTGGTACAATATCATCTTAAATGCTCTATAAGACTCAGTCAATCAAACTACTATCAAATAAAAAGAACTGCACATGCGCCGGGACTAGGCCTGTCTCAATAATCAATATATCGACTTATCAATATATGTACATGAACTCAATAATTTTTGGTGACACAATATATATGTCACCGTGTTTTTTTACATTCCACTTGCACCTGAGCCTTTTGCAGCTTCTCGTACATAACGTGGTTTAGTCATGAGGTGCTTGTTCAGGTGCTCGTTCAAATTTAAAAAATGCTTCTACAAAAGTTTAATCTGCAGATATGGTCTTGTTTAGGGATCTGTGCCTTTGTGCATACGGACATCTGACTGCTAAGTAGTGATTGTGTTTGTCAGCAATACAGTGCACCCTTAATTTACAGAGAAAAGAAGGTCAGGGAAAAATCTCCATAAAAGTTTTTTGTGCATTTTTCTTTTTTTCTACTTGTTACTTTGCATTTTTTGTTAGAAAATGTGTATTTACTATTTATTCAAGTTTTTAAGGTATCTAACAGTTTGATACTTCATTTCCATGATCTAAATATTCTTAAAAATTTAAAGTTTGTAGGCCTTCTTGCATTATTATGCTGTTACATTATGATTATATATTCAGTGGCATAAAATGGTCTTTAAAATGACAATAATATCGCTTATCGCAATTATTTCTGGGGCAATATTTCGCACAACAAAAAGTTGTTATCGTGACAGGCCTAACCGGGACACAAAAATACAATACAACACGCTAATGCTAATGGCTAAATTAGAATAATAGTTTCAGCTATTTCTCTGGGTATTAACCCGTAACTAGGTAATTAATCAACCCATAATCAATGTATTAATGATGTTGACAGGGGCTGTCTATTAAAGCTAGTTTAAGTAAGGAATAAAACAAATCAGGCCAAATACTAAAGCGAGCGCAAACCTGAGCACTTTTTTTTTTCTCATGTATCGCGGCAGGTCAGAACTGAAAGTACGGCTGTGATGGAAGTACGACTTGTTTTGTAAAAACATAATTTAGTTAATAAATTACGAACATACCCGATGATCATGATGCTCCGATATAATTAATATATATTTTACATAAATAACACTTTGTCAGAAAACAGCATATGTTAAACTGTAAACCTGAACACATTTCCGGGTTCTCTGTATGACTTCCGCCGTCGTCATATCCAGGTTAAGACTAGAATGGATACAAAAGGCGCTACTGGGCATGCGCACATCAATAGCGTAATTTTTGTAACACTATACAACAATAATTACTATTTTTGCATTATTGTAAGGGGTAGGTTTAGGGTTGCGGTAGGTGGTCCGTGTACAGTCCGTGTACTTTTGCGTCCATTCGTTTTTCGTTTTTTAACCATGACGAAAAAAAAAATAAAAAAGTATGGTAATTGTATTTTTAAATGCTATGCTGAAAACCAAAATTGAAATTAGAACCGTACACACAAAATGCTGCCCGAAAAAGTAAAATATTGATTTCTTTTCAGATTTGTGTTAATTGTTGCACTTTTAATAAACATTTGAAAAATGCACAAATCAGTATATAAAAATGTCGATTTTGACCTGGTCCGTGTAACCCTTTGCAGTTCTTTGTTCAATTCGCACCATCAAAATGAACCAAATGAAAAGTTGGCTTCAAACTTTCATTTTCAAATTTTATTGGAGCAATTTACAAACGGATAATTGTCTCTCATTTTAATTTTCAATTTTTCAAGCTCTTTAATAAAATGTTGTCTGAAACCACCACTCACTGTTAACTACGCATAACATTTGAAGCAGGAATATTGCTAGGCACGTACATAATTCGTGCTGCTGCGACTTGCAAGCGAACTATAGGCTTACTATATGCTGACAGATTAATTCTAGGATATACCATTGTATGAATATTGTGTGTATTTGTTATTGTATATTGTCATTTATAATTGAATATTGTTTGTATTTGTATTTGTGTAAATGTTACTGCAGGAAGTGATAAATGCATACTGTTTTACACAGAATTACACAAAAATCTTCAAGAACATTAGATGTTATTATATGTTGCTTTTGATGATAATGTTCTGCAGAGTTCAGCTCCAAAACATTTGCCTGGACATAGTGATCCTGAAAACCTTGCTTATAGCTGGTTCAGGTGTGTTTAATTAGGGTAGATGAACTTTGCATTAAATGCACAAACCAGTGTGAATAAACAATATCTTAAACTGTTTTTAACTGATTTGTGCAAAGATCCTTTGAAACAGAACATACAGTAAATCTTTTGAAACTTTTCACTGGTTTGCATTTTTACAATTTTTATTCAAAACTTCGTATAACATTGATAAATAATATAATCATTACTAAAACAACTAAACATTTTAGGTCTACTGACAACAGAGGGAGCTAAATAAATTACAAAGTTGTAATATTACTATGAATCATGTTTCAATCTTGTAGGGTTTCTACATCATTAATCTGTTAAAAAAAATAGAAATATGTAAAAACAATGCTTGTCCCCAAACACACTGCTTGCATACAGACAATTGGCCTACTCACTTAACCCTGCAAGACCATGCTGCTGAACCAGCTTCACCAGCTCTATTATGCTTGTTCACCAGCTCTAAACCATCACTAACCATCATAAACAAGTCTGGACCAGCATGGAATTCATGCTGGTTTATGCTGGAATTTTCAGCAGGGTAGAAAGTGAAGTTTGTGAACAAATTTTGAAGTAGGCTTGCTTGAGGAAGCCCGGATGGAGAGTTTTAAGTAGTTGTATAGCTTGAAGTGTGAAGCTTGTTCTTGTACACAGATATGGCCTATTCATGTCAGTACAAATTACATTCTGTTCATTTATTTGTCATTTAAACTGATGTCAACAGAGAGAAAAAATTATAGACTGAAAATATTTCTTACCCTGTTGCCCCCTCTAGTAGACAGCATTAAGTATTTTGGCCTTCATTGCTCCAATAACGCAAGTCAATGGGATTTAAACAGTCTAACCAGTTAGAAAAGAGTCAGACCAGTCTGAAGGTCTGAGCCGAGTTTGGTGAAACATTAAAGCTCTAGACGGAGTCAATTACTCTCTCATGATAATAATTAATAGTTGGCTTGCAAGCCAACATAATAAAGAGAAACATCAACCAATTTAGCATGTAATAAAACTTTAAGGCATGCCGTACACTCAAACCACAGGGACTTTAATTGTCCCAAACCCTGCTAGTTTTTGTCAGTTTTAAAGGGCACCTATTATGCAAAATCCACTTTTACTCGAAAAGAGAGACAAATGAGAGCGGAGCTTTTTCATTGGAAAAAGCTCGCAGTGCACGCCGATTGCCCCCTCGGGGACATCGTTACACTCAAACCACAGGGACTTTAATTGTCCCAAGCCTTGCTAGTTTTTGTCAGTTTTAAGGTTACGTTCACTGATTCTAGCTTATCTCATTCTTTTCATGTGAACGGAGAGGGCTACACGCTTACATTCATAAATTTAAGTCCACAATTAGGCCTATTTATTCCTGTGTCACACACACCTAGTGCCTTTTGATCTAAATAAAAGACGAGAGTTGGGAAATGTTACAGACAAATTATCGTGGTACTGTTCAGCCTATTATTGATTTTTTTTTACTTCATCTTCACTTTTATCCAAATAACTATTTGCACTGCATTTACCAATGGGACACACAATATTCATACAATGGTATATCCTAGAAATAATCTGTCAGCATATAGTAAGCCTATAGTTCGCTTGCAAGTCGCAGCAGCACGAATTATGTACGTGCCTAGCAACATATTCCTGCTTCAAATATTATGCGTAGTTAACAGAGTGGCAGGGGCGTAAATTTCGTCTAACAGTTGGGGGGGACAATAAACATAAAATTTCTCAAAAGCAATATTTGCGCTGCTGTTTATATCATGAAGCAGAGGTTCAAACTCCAGTGCAAACACCACTGGCCAAGAGCTTTGGGCTCTGCTCTCACGGAGAATATTTATTTATATAGCATATTTTATTTTATATCAACTAGAAACAATGTTTAACTTATAAAGTTTTATTTTGAAATGTAAGTCAATAACAATTGGCTGAAGCCAGAGCCAATGGTGAAAGTCTATGCGCGAGGAGACCCCGCCCCATTTTGGAGGTTCTGCCTACTTTTGGAGTTCATGCCCCATTTTGGAGATCTCCTACTTGTACCTACTTGTGGATTTCCGCCTATGGTGAGTGGTGGTTTCAGACAATATTTTATTAAAGAGCAATATTCAGCGCCACACTCGTACTGACTCTTATTCTGTCTGACAGAATTAAAAACTCGTACTGAAGGTGGAGCAATTTGACCAATCAGATGAAGGGGGGCGTTTCAGCGCCGCCCACGTGTGCGAATGAAATATCAAAACCATAGTCCGATTTGTGAACCACAAACGAAACATGAGAAATCAAGCCGAAATCTCATTTTCTGTTTGTTAAACTAAACGAAAAAACGAATAAACGAGCCGTCTTTTCATTTCTCGTTAATCCATTCCAAATAGGAAATTAAATGATCAAAACGTACATGGACCGTAGGTGTAGATGTTAATAAAACACAATCTAATAGGTAGAAAATGTAAATTTATTGTTAGCTTCAGGTTTTAGCTATATCCCCTCTAGCCACAACCTCATATCCATGGGTTTAAAAAAATCTATAGCATGAACGGAATCTACAGCAAGTGTTATTTGTTGTTTCCATTTGCTTCAACAACAAAATAAAATAAATAAATAAATAAAAATAACGATTGCATTTTTATGAGATTACAAAATAGGAAAAAATAACAACAACAACAACAGCATAGGTCAGGGATCACCAAACTTGTTCCTGGAGGGCCGGTGTCCTGCAGAGTTTAGCTCCAACCCTAATCAAACACACCTGAACTAGTTAATGAAGGTCTTGCTAGGTATACTTGAAACTTCACGGCAGGTGTGTTGAGCAAGTTGGAGCTAAGCTCTGCAGGACACCGGCCCTCCAGGACTGAGTCTGGTGACCCCTAGGATAGGCAGTCAGAAAAAGAAAGAAACCCTACCCTACTGGTAGATGCTGGAACTACATCACCGACCGCAAAAGCCTGTTTCTCCTTGGACACCCTTTCAAAAGTAAACATGTTTTCTGATTTAAGTCTCGCAATGTCATGCCAAGGTAATGTAAAACAAACTATAATGTTAGGCTATAACATAAAAAATAAAATAAATAAATAAATAAAATAAAATAAAATAAAATTAAGCTTCGTTAAAAATTGTAAATTTAAATTTAAATTAGTTTTAATTAGTTGTTCCTTTGTTTTCTTGTTGTTATTGTTATTTATAAAGACCCATTGACCCATATTTTCAATTAAAATTTCCCCCCTTTATTTCGTTAACTTCGGATATGAAAACATGATGTTTAAAGCAAAAAAAAAAAAAAAAGGTTCCTACACAGTTGCTAATTTTCTCGCCTTTGCAAGTGCATTACATAAAACATTTGTTCAATACTGATGACGACTTCTTTGCATGGTCGGTGTTACAAGATTCAACTGACACTATGCAGAAACCCCTTTCTTTGAGAAATATTGAAGAGTGAAGTACACTAACCAATGATGTTCAAATGTGCGAAATAGACATGGGCTCAACCGCTATATAAGGTGGCATTTCCTCAGAAACTTTCTCCTTTAATTAAGTCAGCTGCTTTCTTCACCCAAAACTTCACTACTCACCAATTCAGCTGATTTTCGGCTTAACGCTCCACCAGGCAAACCTCTAGATCCACCTTTGCCTTTCTGCAGCAAACCTGAGCAGCTGTGAGACTTTGTGGTTAAAGCGCAACCCTTTCTGAAGTAGCAAGGTCCTTACCCGAGTGGCAAGCTGACACTGCAGTTCAGTCACAGTCCGCCCCACTGATTACATTCATATACAGATAGCTCTCTTCACAGGTGCTTTCTGAGATTTCTTTTCAAGGCAAATCATACCAGTTTTCTGTTCTTCCTTTCGGCCTGTCATTAGGTTCACACACATTCACAAAATGTGTGGACATGGCTCTTCCCAATAAGGTTGCATGTACTGAATTATTTGGACTATCTGATCTTGGCCAGATTATCCTCATTCAGAGTAGGTTAGTCTTAGCCTCAGACATTACACCCATGGACCGCTGGCTAAACATC